ACAGCTTGCACAAAGGGCTGCGTACCTTCTTGGCGTTGGACGCCTGAGTGTTAGTTCTGCAAGGGTTCTGTGAGCATGTGTTTGTTTTGTGTGTTTCAAGTGGACCTTGGCAGAAGTGCTGTGGTGGCCGACCCAGGCTGAGCATCCACTCTCCAACCACTCAAAGCTTTTGTGCCAGTTTGTGGCCTCTGCACTTGGGATTTGGCAAAGGAATGATCCCAAGTCCAGTTGTAGACGCCTCTGATAGTAATGGGTTCTCTCTGACAGAAGGATGTGGCCAAGCTAAATGGCCTCCTCTGGGGCACTCCTTGGGGCCCTGTGGCCTGTTGGGAGCCAGACGCTGGCTGGACTCCTCTCCTCTGAAGGCAGAGCGTGAATGCGCTTCTGGGCGGCTCCAGGGGAGGGTGGCATTTGTGGTGCCCTGCTGCCCCCCAGTGGCCAGAGTCTGGGAATGCTGGCCCAGCCACTAAGGTCCACCCGGGCGCTTGACCATTGCTGGGGGCTAGTGGCCTCCTTAATAATAATAACAACAATAATAACTATTTTTCTACCCTGCCTCCATCTCCCCAAAGGGACTAGGGGTGGCTCACGTAGGGAGGAACCCGAACAAACATGTTTAAAATATACACTCACATATAAAATACAACAGAACAAAACAGAATAAAACAATAACATTGTATACTAAAGCACCCCTCAAAACAACAACCAATGAATCTGCAATAATAAACAATTCCTGGGCATGAGTGGGCAGACTAGTGCCACTCAATTGTGAGGATAGGACTGGTGCCCAGCTTCATTTGTTGCATTTTATGGGGATGCAGAGAGCTCCTTTCTGTTTGCTTTTTGTGTCTTCTGTATTTGCCATAAAGGGGAGAGAAAGAAAGAGGGAGGCAAAACTTGTTTTTTGACTGAAGGTCCGGAAGCGCCTCTTCTTGCTGCCTTCAAGGCCTTGAGTTTCGTGGAGTAGTAGTCTAGCGGGATGTTTTGGATGCTCGTGCCCAGCCATTGTGACACTGAAGTCATACCCAGGTGTTTCTGAGCATAAGCAGAAAGCATTTGTGTCTGTTTTGGTGATGAGCAAGGAGGTACATCTTGGCTTATTTTGCCCCCTTATGCGAGACAAATCATGAAGGAAGTTGTCTGCGTGCTCTGCAAGGACACCAAAGCGTCTATGCCATTATGAGGAGAAAAGTTCAGGAAAGCTACACTCAGGGACGGCTCAACCTATTATGCAAAGTAAGCATTTGCAGTATAGTTGATTTTGCCCAGGGGCACTCTTGAGGCGCTCTTGGGGGGAAATAGACTTCAGCCCCCCCCCCCCCCGAAATTCTCATGGTGGTCTGCGAGAAGGCCTTACTGGTACATTATGTAAACTGTTATGTTTATTCATATCATGATCTGATCACCATGCTCAATATATCCCATATGCATGGGGGTATTGGGGTAACGATACAAAAGGTTTGCTAGGGTAGACCCTCTTTCACTCAGACTCAGCCCCCCCCCCCCGAATCAAACTCAGCCCCTCCCGAATCAAAATCCTGGCTACGGGCCTGCCCAGGGGCGCTCTTGAGGCGCTCTCGGGGGAAAATAGACCTTGACATATGCAAGTTGTAGTTACTGGGATGTATAGTTCACCTACAATCAAAGAGCATTCTGAACTCCACCAATGATGGAATTGAACCAAATATGGCACACAGAACTCCCACGACGAACAGAAAATATATATCAGTGATTGGTTGTGGGGGGGGGGGGCAAAATACTGTTTGCTTACCGTTGAAAATTACGTAGGGCTGCCTCTGGCTACACTTAATGTTTGTGTACAGGAATGTGTGGGTTTAGACCAGGCATGGACAAACTTAGGAATTGTGGGGGTTGAAGTCCAAAACACTTGGAGGAAGGGCCAAAGTTTGCCCATGCCTGCCTTATACAAACTCCAGGAAGAGTCTGAAGACAAAGGGGACGCCTTGGCACTGCTGCCTTTGTTGTGTGCCCAGGGCCACACTCCCCGCCTGTGTGTGCTCACATTCTCCGTCTCACACACACTCACTCCCTCCCTCACTCTCTCACACACAAGGCCTGCTATGGCTCCTTCCTCCCAGCTGCTTCCTGCCACATTTGCTGCTCTGGCTTCTGAGGCGCACGGGGACTCCCCCAGACTTGCCCCGAAGACAGAGGAGGAGAGGCCCTTCCTCATCTGCCTGCCGCCCTTCCCCTCTTGCTTGCTCACTCGCTTGCTCACTGGGGAACACACACGCTGCCTGCCATCTGCGCCGCTGGCACCAACCACCCCTCCTCCTCCTCCTCCTCCTTTCCTTGTGCCAGGCAGCAGATCCTAGCCATGGTGAACTGGGGCCTGTGGGCAACAGGTAAGCAGCCATGGCTTTGTGCGCGTGCCTTGCTTCTGTTGCCACGCTCTCTTTTGCAGTCACCTCCCTTTTCTGTGCCAGGGAGCCCTCCTTGCCAGCGGTCATTCTGCATCCCCGTTGACCGGAGGCAGACGGATGGTCCTTGGTGGCGCAAAGGCAAGGAATCCCGCTTGCTTTGTGGGGAGGGCTGCTGGGGCCGCTGCTCTCAAGCTGCTCTTGTTTCCTTCCTTTCTGTCAAGGGTTTCCTCCAGGTGTTGCAGATGTGCTCCACTCCCAGCAGCCCTCTCTCCTGGCCAAGGTGGGAATTGCAGTCCCGCAACAACTAAAGGAATAGTTCCAACAGACCTCACTACCTCTGAGGATGCTTGCCATAGATGCGGGTGAAACGTCAGGAGAGAATGCCTCTAGACCATGGTCATATAGCCCAAAAAAACCTACAACAACCCAACTAAAGGAATCCTAGTCCCGTCTCCTTCGGGCCCTTCTGGCCTGGCTGTGCCGTGCCCTAAATGTCCCTCAATGCACCCCCCCTCACTGACCACCTCCTTTTAATAAACTTTAGGAAGTGAGTCTTTTGAAGGCTCAGCTTTGAATGCAGTCATAGAATTTTGAAGACAGACCTTTGAGCTGGCCAAGGAGCGCAGGAGCCAGCCTCGGCTTGTCTCTGGCCAGGGAGGTTCCTCCTGGGCAGGCCATCCTGACCTTTCCCTTCAACCCTCCCATTTCTAGCATGGCACAGCCTGAGCTCTTGCAAAATCCTCCACGCCAAGAACTCTGAACTTTCCTTTCCTTGCTCACTTGACCCGCCTCCTAATAATAATAATAATAATAATCCTTTATTTGTACCCTGCTACCATCTCCCGGAGGACTCGGTGCGGCTTACAAGAGGCCGAGCCCAAATAAACACAACAACAACAATACAACAAAATGAACTCAAAACAAAGCAATAAACATTAACAAAACACCACGACGCATTAAAATCCATGGCAGGGCCAAATGTAATAGTTAAAAATTAAAAATATGCTGGGCATGACCAGGTGAAAAGGGTAGGTATTTGGAGGGGGATGGGGCATGCAGATATCCTGGGTCTCTAGTAAAGTGCATTTGGGGACATATTGCTTGGAGTTTCCTTATTCTGGGAAGGCACACTGGAACAACCATGTTTTCAAGCTCCTCCTAAAAATTGCCAACGTTGGGGCATGCCTGATGTCCTTAGGGAGAGAGTTCCAGAGTCGAGGGGCCACCACCGAGAAGGCCCTGTCCCTCGTCCCCACCAATCGCGCTTGCGATGGAGGTGGGATCGTGAGCAAGGCCTCTCCAGATGATCGAAGAGATGATAAACAGAGATGCGGTCCTTCTCTTGCAGTACCTAAACTCTTAGTTTCTAACTACTGGAAGTAATTGCAATGTTAGAAATGTTGGGACCAAAGGAAAATAAATGTCAAGATGGTTTGTGGATTTGCAGCAGACACATCTGTGGGGGAGTGGAAGCATCTGCAAGAAGCCGCTGCCCCAGGTGAAGCTCTGATGGTGGCAGGCCAAACACTGAGGAGACCTTCCTGAGAAACGGGGCTGGCTAGAAATCTCTTCCTCAATACCTGTGGGCAAGGCTGGTTTCTAAACGGGAAAGCTTCCCATTAGGAGGCCCTCCTTGTAGCTGCCCCATGGCAGAGGAGAAAAAGTCAGAGGATCTGGGCCAAAGACAAGAGGGAGGGAAGGAGGGAGGGAGGGAGGGGGCAGCCCCAGGGCATCTGTTTTTAGCTGGGCTTTCAGTAAATGAGAGGCTGTTTATAAAGTGTCTAAAAATGTGAAAGGGAAGCAGAAGTGAAAGCCAGCCAGAAGAAGAGGAGGGTGGCCAGTGTTTGGAGGAAGGGAGGGGGGTGGAGAACACCAACGCCGCCACAGCAAGCAGGTCGCAGGCCCTGCCAGAGAAGCCCCAGAGACCCCCAAGGGCTCCCATCACTCACGGGAAGGTCAGGGCAGGCGCTGTGGCTTCCTGGATGGTGTCGGTCCCGCCTGTTGCCTGGTCACCTCCTTTTCCTGCTCCCTTGTACTCAGGATATGGCCCCAGTAGGACAGCCGCAGTCCCTGCTCGGAGGCCCCTTCCTCTCTCCTTTGGGTCCAAACTCCAGCTTCAGTCATGTTGGGTCTGCTCCTGCCCGCTCCCACAGCCCGAGACCAGAAACCTGCCGCCAGCCTGGCTTTGGTGCCTCCCCCCTGGTTCCGTCACCGTCTCGGTCCTCTTCTCATTTCTTGACCACAGTCTCTGTTTTGGTTAACAGCAAAGCCAAGTGATGACAGGAAATTTTCCCCAATCCTCGTGCTAGAATTGCTGGGGAAGTGCTAAGGGTGCAGATCTCTGTGCATCTCGTAAAAAGGCTCCTTTGGGCTGGGCCATTCTGGGCGCCCAAAACAAAGAGAGGCTTTGGGGGCAAAGGCGGTGGTCTTGGGGATTCTTTTAATTGGAGCATGCGAGGATTCCACAGAGTGGTGTCCTGGTGGGCAGGCCTTGCTCTCCGCGTTGTTCTGTGTAGCCTGTCCCAGGCCTTTCCCATCATCTCAATGGCTGCCCCCCTCTCTCTGCCCCCCTCTCCCCCCCCTCCCCGCTTGCCCCCTCCTCCTCCTCTCTTCCAGAAGTAAGAATGTCTAAGCCCCTGGAGCTGGAGAAGGCACGGCTGGAGCTGCAAGAAGAGCACACAGGTAGCCAGGCCTCCGGGCCCCCTTGCTTCAGGGGACGTGGGAACAAGGGGCCCTCAAGGCACGGGGACCCCCTTCTACCCCATGACCTGCCCCCTAGCCCAGAATAGCGGTATCATTCCACAAGCAAGATTTGCTGGGTATTCGGCTTACCATGCCCAGAGTTGGAGAAGTTACTTTTGAGGGCTTCATGGATCAAGGCTGGAGAGGAGATGAGCACACTGCAGGCAATCCTGGAGAAAAATCAGAGTGGGCCCAGCAGGCTCCATGGGGGTTCCGTGGGGCTAGGGATGTGGGTCTAGGAAGGAAGTCTCCCTGGGTCGCTTTTGTGATGAGCTTCTCTTCTTTGGTTATAGATACAGAAAGAAATGGACCTGACACAAACCACCAGGTGAGAAACGTGGGGCAGGAATTTGAAGTGGCAAAGTGGGGCATGGGGTGGGGGGAGCCATGGCGGCACAGCCCCTGCTTGCCCGGTTGCTCACTCCCTTCTCCTCTTTGACCCCCGCAGACCCAGCAGAGCAAGCCTTCTCCGTTCTCTCCGTCCCCCACCAGCACCGGCACCAAGGTAAGGCCCGCCTCCCTGCGCCACCAGCACCGGCCCTCCGGCCCCAATCAATGCGGCCAGTGGGGAAGAATCAGGGGGACTGATGGCCCACACCATAGGAAAGGAATGGCTTGGAGGGGTCTTCTGGCCAGCGGGAAGCCATGTCTTTCCTCATTGCAAGTGTGCTCCTCGCAACCTTAGAGGAAGCCCAGGGCTGAGCAGCACTACAAATCAAGGCTTCTTTGGACACTGGCTGCTGCATTTCTAGCAGCCATTAACAACAACAATAACAATGATAGTGACAAAAATAACACGATGTAACAAAATTTGGAAAAAAAAATCTGTTTCTGGTTTTAAAGTGTGATTGCTGTTTAATTTCTTTGAAAATGCTTGTTCTACTCCAGAAACTATTATTTTTGTGGCTGACACAAACTAGGTTGGATTGGTTGAGACTTGATGATGAGATACTCATTGAAAAACCAGAGCAAAATCCGCTACAGGATGATGTCCCTCCCTCCCGCAAATGCAAATTACTGGCAGTTTAATAAACTTTTTCCATGTTTTTAATGATCGAACCAATTAGGAAATGACATTTATAACCCAGGAACAAAAACTGTAGTGTAATTCTCTCTGTGGACATCCATGAAGCCAGAACAGGCTTTGGTGCCCTTCAGACCCGCATCGACACTGACATTTCCCTGTGCGTTCCTTGCCACCATTCGCCTAAACGTTGCCCCAGGGGCTGCAGGAGAGCCCGAATTTCCAGCTGTTCTGTCTGGAAGGAAGAGCTCCATATGCGCAGGGAAGAAGTGCGTTTTCTTTTTGACAATTACATGTATTGCTCCTCTGTCCTTTGGAAAGAGGCTCCGATCAGTCTCTCTGGCCAGTCCTCAGTCTTTCTTCAGCTTTCCTGCTCTTCCAATTAGAAATCCCCCTCAGTCCTTTTGTGATTACTGGCAGTGCCGGGAGGCTTCTTTCTGGACAACAAGTTAAACATGAGCCAACAATGTGATGTGGCGGCAAAAAAAGCCAATGGGATTTTGGCCTGCATCAATAGGAGCATAGTGTCTAGATCCAGGGAAGTCATGCTACCCCTCTATTCTTTGGTTAGACCACACCTGGAATACTGTGTCCAATTCTGGGCACCACAATTGAAGGGAGATGTTGACAAGCTGGAATGTGTCCAGAGGAGGGCGACTAAAATGATCAAGGGTCTGGAGAACAAGCCCTATGAGGAGCGGCTTAATGAGCTGGGCATGTTTAGCCTGAAGAAGAGAAGGCTGAGAGGATATGATAGCCATGTATAAATATGTGAGAGGAAGCCACAGGGAGGAGGGAGCAAGCTTGTTTTCTGCTTCCTGGAGACTAGGACGCAATGGAACAATGGCTTCAAACTACAAGAGAGGAGATTCCATCTGAACATGAGGAAGAACTTCCTGACTGTGAGAGCCGTTCAGCAGTGGAACTCTCTGCCCCGGAGTGTGGTGGAGGCTCCTTCTTTGGAAGCTTTTAAACAGAGGCTGGATGGCCATCTGTCAGGGGTGATTTGAATGCAATATTCCTGCTTCTTGGCAGAATGGGGTTTGACTGGATGGCCCATGAGGTCTCTTCCAACTCTTTGATTCTAGGATTCTATGAGACGCCAGCCCATCCTTCAACATGTCAAGCAAGCATGGGCCAACTTTCCATCCAGGTATTTCGGACTTCCACAGTCCAAAATGCCTCAAAGTTGGCCCATGCCTGCTCTCTCTGTTGTCGCCTTTGGGCAAGTAAACAAGCTTTGGAGTGCAAGGGGAGCCTGCAAAGAGCGGCTTCTCTTCAGAAACTGGAGCTTGCAAAGTTATTAAAGATGTTTGGGGCTGATTATTACCTGCCTTTTGATTATTAATAGAGGAACTGAAGGGAATTTGCATAATATGCAAACCACCGCAATCTGCCTTTTCTTCAGAAGAGAGGAAGTATCAGATAAGGCCTTTTGCCCTTGACGCGAGCCGGGAGTGTTGTGGCTCTCCCTGCAAAGCGACAAAGGGGCTGAGGGTGGGCCAGACCCCTGCCTCATTTCCCCCTGAATCAGAATAGGATCGGTTCACGCTGTTGCCCTTGTCTCTGTGTGTCAGTGCAAAAGGAGAGGTCTGTGGCGGCACAGGGCGGGCGCTGCGCTGCCTCGCTCTTCTCTTATCAGCCGGGTAGGAACCCATGAATCAAGGTTGGTTTTGGGGGGGAATTCCCTGCCTCCGGGGACCTGCAGCAAAACAGGAAATGGAGCGGCAATGTGTCAGAACTTCCAGGGGTCAGGGGTCAGGGGTGGGATGCTCCTGTCTGCCTGGTGGGGCTCTTTGTGGCCGCAGAAGGGCGGCAGAAGTCTAAGACGTTGTCTTGAGAATTAGTGGTTGGGCTCAGCACTGAGTAGGAACAGGAAGATGCCAAGGAGAGACACTTGCTCCATAAGGGGCAGCCCAGACAGGCCTCCTCCTCCCAAATGCGCATCATTCAATGGACCCTCAAGAGCTTTAGGAGAAAACAAACAAGGATCACCAGCAAGGAATTGTGGGAGTTGACGTCCAAAACACCTGGAGGGAGGGCCAAAGTTTGCCCATACCTGGTGTTGAGAAAACTTGGAATGTTCCGACCCAGAGCTGTGGTGCCTTCCCAAACGACATTTGCCCTGACTACCTAGGATGTAGATACAGACATGAAAGGGGAATCCGAGGGTTTTAGTTGTGTGTTGTGAGAGGATCGTTTTGCACAGGAAAGCCTGGGAAATGAGCAGAGAATGGGGAAAGGAGCCAGGCGGGGATGCTGGGGATCCCGGGTGACGGAGCAGGAGAGGCAGCCCTCGCAACTCCCTTCTGCCTTCTCCTCCTCCCGCAGATCAAAGCCGAAGAGCCCACAGAGGTGCCTCCAGCTCCAGCCCCGGCTCCGGCCCCGGCCCCAGTCCAGCCGCCCCACCTGCCCCAGGCCCAGCTGATGTTAGCCGGCAGCCAGCTTGCGGGGGTAAGTGGAGCCCCATGCAGCAGCAATGGTGGCAGTGAGACTCAGCTCCTGAGCAAAGGCTCCCAGCCATTAGTCCTCTGGGGGCTTTGGACTCCCCCCCCTCCACCTGAGAGCCCTGCCCAGCTTGGCCAGCAGGAATTCCCAGAAGCAAGGTCCAAAACACCCGGAGGGCCAAAGGCTGGGGGACCCTGCTTGGGTGACACGGGCCAAGGCTTGTGATTCCAAGGCGACTTGTGCAAGGTTGTGTGGCGGAAGCACCACGACATTCTTCATCATTCAGGAGCAGCCTCTCGATTCCATAAACAGGGTGGCTTGGGTGGCTGGGTACCGTGATTGGTACCGTGATCGGTGGCTGCCGTGATCCGATCTAACCCTGAGACAAGATGAGAAAGGCAGGGCTCTGACTCTTCTTCAAGCCCCCGATTTAGAGTCTTTCTCACAAGCACCTGGGGATTGCTGTGACTAATGTGGGTGAAATTATGTGGGTTGCATGTGAATGAATGAGAAGGGTCCCCCTCAGGGCTGGGAGTGGGCTTGCTTGGCTCCCTCTGTGCTTGCTGGGGGTGAGTGTGGCTGCAGCACCAGCTCACCTGCTTCTTCCTTCTCTCTTCTGCCTGGTTTGTGCCCTTCCTTCCTTCCTTCCTTCCTTCCTTCCTTCCTTCCTTCCTTCCTTCCTTCCTTCCCTTGCCCTTCCGCTGCTGCTTCCTCTTGCCCCTGCCCGCCCCCTCCCCCGGCGCCCCTCGGTGCCCCAGCTGACGGCCCTGATGCCCGCGCAACAGCAGCTGCTCCTGCAGCAAGCCCAGGCCCAGCTCCTGGCGGCTGCCGTGCAGCAGTCCAACGCCGCCGCTGCCGCTGCCGCCTCCCAACAGCCGGGCTCCGACCTGCCGGCCCCGCAGAGCCAGCCCCAGGCGCCCCAGCTGGCCCTCTCGCAGCCCATCCAGCTCACGGCACAGGTAAGCAGGCAGCGCCCGGCCCCGCCCTAGACCAGCAAAGCCGCTCTGCGCTTGCTTGTGGTGCCAGAGGGGTCACGTCAAAGGTGGGAGAAGGCGTGCCGCCTATTTCAGCCGCTCTCAGGGCACTGCGCCACAGAATGGCTCTGGGTGGGAGACCCCCTTCCCTTCCCTTTTCATGTCCAGATTGAGGGACGTGATGGTGCTTCTCTCTTCTGCTTTGGTCAGACCTCTCCCTGGAATACTGTATCCAATTCTGGGCACCACCATTTCAGAGATACTGACTCTAAGTTGGAAGGGGTCTCGAGGAAGGGGTCAACTCGAAGGCTCAAAGGCCCCGAGACCCTGAACAAGCCCCCTGAGGAGTGTCTTAAAGAACTGGGTCTGTCCAGCCAGTTTCAGAAGAGAAGGCTGAGCGGAGACATGATGAGAGCCATGTCTAAATATTACCATTTTATAATTTGTTTTTTTAAATTATGATTTGCTTATTTTCATTTCATTACTATGTTATTACTAAGTATTTATTTGATGTTATTGTTTTTCTCTTATGTACTTTTGCTTTAATTTCGTTTGGGCTTGGCCGCATGTTAGCCACTCCGAGTCCCTTTGGGGAGATAGTGGTAGGTGTAAATAAAATAAGATCTCTAGAAGGTTCCGAAGCTGTCTGCCCAGACGCAGAAATTACCATATGCGCAATTCACAGGGACCACGATGGGAAACATTATTATTATTATTATTATTATTATTATTATTATTATTATTATTATTTATTAAATATGTGAAAGGATGTCTTGAGGAGGGAGCCGCCTTGTTTTCCGCTGCTCTGGAAATAGGACTCAATGGAGCTGTGGATTCAAATGACAGGGAAAGAGATTCTGCCTAGACATGAGGAAGAGCTTCCTGGCTGTAAGGAAAGCTGTTCAGCAGTGGAACTCTCTGCCTCAGGATGTGGTGGACTAGAAGCTCTTTCTGTGAAGGATTTTCAACAGAGGCTGGGTGGACAACTGTCAGGGGTGCTTTGATTGTGCTTTTCTTGTAAGGAGAGCTGTTCAGAAGTGGAACTCTTTGCCTCAGGATGTGGTGGACTGGAAGCTCTTTCCGTGAAGGCTTTTCAACACAGGCTAGGTGGCCATCTGTCAGGGGTGCTTTGATTGTGCTTTTCCTGCAAGGAAGAAATAAAGGGGTTGGGCTAGATGGCCCATGTGGTCTCTTCCAACGAGGATTCTATGATTCCCAGGCTCCTCTGGGGTGAGGCCTTCTCCTTCCTGCCCTCCCTCACTCGCATGCACTGACCCCTTCCCTTTTCTCATCCGTCCCCTCCCTCCTTCCCTCCCTTCTTGGGCCTTCTCCCTTCTCAGGACATCCAGCAGCTGCTCCAGCTCCAGCAGTTAGTCCTGGTCCCAGGGCACCACCTCCAGCCTCCTGCGCAGTTCCTCTTGCCGCAGGCCCAGCCCGGGCAACAAGGTAAACACCCACACAGGGTGGGGCAGGGCAGGGTGGGGGCCCGGCATCAAAGACAGACTGCAGCTCCCATTGTCCCCAGACTGCGGTGAAGCCAAGGGGAGGAGGGGTGCCCAGCCTGCCCGGGAAGCCCTGAGTCTGGGCGGGCCGGCCTGGGAGGCAGGTAGTGGGCTGGCCATCCCTCCCTGCTTGAGCCCTGAGCCTCTTCTCTCCTCTTCCTCCTCCTCCTGCTCGTCTTCTGCAGGGCTGCTCTCCACACCAAATCTTTTTCAGCTACCTCAGCAAAACCCCGGGAGCCTCCTGCCGAATCAGCCTCGCGCAGGACTCCCAGCACAGGTGAGCACAGGCCAACGGGACAGGGAGGAAGGGAGGAACACCCAGCCATGCCTAGTCCTCATTGGGAAGTGAAAAGGACTAGCGATAAAGTGGGGGGGAGGACGACTGTGCAACAACATTCGGAAGGTACAAATGACAGCCTGCAACTCTCCTCAAAGCTCTCTCTGGCAGAACATCTGTGGAAAGAGCTTTGAGGAGAGTTGCAGCCCTCCCTCCTCCAGCTGGGAGGAGACATCAGAGCACACCTGTTGTAGCCTCCAGGAGAGGCAGGAGAGATCTCAAGGGGAGCAGAGGGTGGCTCCTGTTGTGCCCCTCTTTGTGCTGCGCCTGACCCTTCTTCTCCTGTCTCTCCATCCTTGCTGTGCAGCAAGTGACTCGGCCCGGCCTCCCCGAGTCGCACCTGTCTCTCTCGCAGCAGCAGCAGCCGCAGCCGCCGCCTCCGCCCAAATGCCTGGAGCCCCCCTCCCACCCCGAGGAGCCCAGCGACCTGGAGGAGCTGGAGCAGTTTGCCCGCACCTTCAAGCAGCGGCGGATCAAGCTGGGCTTCACGCAGGTAGGCCGGGGGCCGAGGAGGAAAAGGCCTGGGGCCGGGAAATGTCCAGGGCCTTTCACAGAGAAGAAGTGGAAGAATGGCTTAAAGGAGGCACGGGCCAACCCTCCAGGCCCTCCCACCATTCCCAACAGCCAGTAGGGAGTTGCTGTCCAGACCATCTGGAGGGAGGGCCGAGATTGGCCCGTGCCTGGGTTAAAGGGAGTTAAAGGGAGCAAGAAGGAGAAAGAGTGAAATAATCTGGGGAAAGATAGCGTTGCTCAGCATTGCCCGGACACGGCATGTGGGTGAGAGGAAGACAGAGGTATAATAAATAATCATAAATAATAATAAACTTTATTTCTACCCACCACCATCTCCCCGATGGGGACTCGGAGTGGCTTACATGGGACCAAGCCCGGACAACATAATATAGCAATAAAATCAAAGCATATTCAACAGACAACAACAAAATTATCAAAATGACATTAAAATAATAATAGTAATAATAAAATAATAATAAAATAAAATAAAAATTCCAGTAAACACAATCATGATAGAGATGACAATGGGCGGTCCAAAGAGCAGCAAAGCCATGCTGTTCCTGTTGTTCTTGTTGTGTGCTCCTGCAGGGTGATGTGGGGCTGGCCATGGGGAAGCTTTACGGGAACGACTTCAGCCAGACCACCATATCGCGCTTTGAGGCTCTCAACCTCAGCTTCAAGAACATGTGCAAGCTCAAGCCTTTGCTGGAGAAATGGCTGAATGATGCTGGTGAGCGAGGGGAGGGGAGGAGGCGAGGCCTTCCAAAGGGGGGGGGGGGGTAGGGTTGCAGAGGTCTCCCAGGTTTGTACCAGGCATGGGCCCTCCTTCCCTCCCTCCAGGGGTTTTGGGCTTCCACAATTCCTGGCTGTTAGGAAGTCCAAAACACCTGGAGGGAGGGAAAGAGGACCGAAGTGGGGCCATGCCTGGCGTAGAAACCACCGGCACTTTGGGGACCCGAGTTCCTGCCTTGCAGAGACCATGTCGGTGGACTCCACGCTTCCCAGCCCCAACCAGCTGACCAGTCCCAACATGGGCTTTGACGGGTTGCCCGGCCGGCGCCGAAAGAAGCGGACCAGCATCGAGACCAACGTCCGCTTCGCTTTGGAGAAAAGCTTTCTCGCGGTGAGAGCCCTGGCCTCGGCGCAGGGGGAGCGGTCACCCCACAGTCGTGCTGGGCCCCCTCTTTTGCACCCCCCTCCTCTTGCCCAAGGCCTGGGCGTTGTCACAGGGCCCCCCTCCTTCCCTCCCTTGTCCTGCAGAACCAGAAGCCTACCTCAGAGGAGATCCTGCTCATCGCAGAGCAGCTCAACATGGAGAAGGAGGTGATCCGCGTCTGGTTCTGCAACCGCCGACAGAAGGAGAAGCGGATCAACCCCTGCAGCTCTGCCCCCGTCTTGCCTGCCCAGGGCAAGCCCCCAGGATACAGCCCGCTCTTGGTACGCCCCCCCCCATTCATCCTCCAGGCCTCCCCCCCTCCCCCCCTCCCCCTCCCCCTCCCCTTGCAGCATTTCACCTCCTGGCATAGCCAATACCTGTACCTGCTGGGAGTGGCCGTTGCTTCCAGAAACATCCCGAGAAGGGCCGCTGGGTTCCCATCCTGCCTTACCTCACCATCTGTTGTGTCTCTCACGTTTGGTCAGTTTGACAACGGGGCTCCATCCTTCTCTGCCGCCACAACCTCCTCCCTCCCTCCCGTCTTGGCATTTGGCAAACTCCTTCCTACTTGAGACTTGCCAGGGCTGTTTTCTCTTGCTGCTGCTTTCCTTCCTTCCTATCTCTTCATTTTATCACACACTCTGATCACAACAGCTGTGTGCTCAAATATGGTATCCTTCTTGGTACAAAGAACTGGAAGAGGGTTGTGGCTGACCCCCAGGAGTGTCTTTTTACCCCCACCTGTGATAAAGCCCCCCAGTGGACCAGGCCTCCCTTCCCCCTGGAGGCCCATCACTTCCAGCCTTCAGAACACACCTTTGCACCCATTCATGGCCTAGCCAGTATACAAAACTTTGCAGAGCTCAAAACAATATGGGGGGAGATACAATTCCATGAGTCCCCAGTCTCTAATGTGGGAATCATGCAACTGTATCTCCCCCAACAGTGACTGGGGATTCAGGGGGTGCAGTCCAGCCTCCTGGAAACTCTGATCACAACAGCTGTGTGCTCAAATATGGTATCCTTCTTGGTACAAAGAACTGGAAGAGGGTTTGTTTGTTTGTTGCCATACTTGTACCCTGCCCTGCTCACCCCGAAGGAGACTCAGCCTTTTCAAAGGCAACAATTGGATGCCATATGTAGACAGATATCAATAAATGAGGTTTTGATCCAAACCATTTAAAATATCCATGAAGACCACGCACTCCAAGTCCTCCTCCAGGGCCAGTTTGGGGCGTTGCGCCCTGTGCCGGCTCTTCCTGGGTGGGATGCCCACGCCTGTCCCATCCCTCGCCTTGCCCTCGTGACCCTCTGCTCTTCTCCGCAGGTGACCAGCCCCGGCACAAGTCTGCCTCTCTCCCAGGCTTCCAGCAGTTTGAGCACAACAGGTAGCTCTTTCCCTGTGCTCTTCCGGGGTCCCTCCTCCTCGGAACCTGTGGGAGGGGGAGCGCCAAGTCACGCTGGCCAAGGGCCCCGAGGGTGCAGTGGAGCGCGCCGAGAGTGTCCCTCTCTGGCCAAGCAGGGTGCCCAGGGAGCCTCTCGCTGCCTGGGGCACCATCTTGGGCACTGCAGAAAAACCCCAGCTCTGTCCCTTGGTTGCCCCTGGAGAGGGCGGCCATGGCATTGGGGGGGGGGGGGGGACTGTTCTGCTGGGCAAAGGGGCCCAGCTCTAACCTCCCGGTGCTTTCTCCTGGGCAGTGACTACCTTGTCCCCAGCGATCTGCTCCCTGACCCCGAGCCGGACAGCGGTGGGAGTGGGGGCCACCGTCCTCAATTCGGCCACTCCACCCCCCAGCAACAGCACAAACCCCAGTCCCCTGAGCGCCGGCAGTGGCGGAGTGGGAGGCGGTGGCGGAGGAGGAGGCCTCCACCCGGCCCTCAGCCTGCAAGCCCTGAATCCCAGCCCGGGGTAAGTAAGGGGCCGCCGAGGGAGGGAGGGAGGGAGGGAGGGTGGCCCTCTCCGGTTCAAGGCAAGTGAGAGCACGGGAATCCAGGATGAGGTCAAGAAGTCAGAAGTGGTTTCTGGGGCTGCTCTTTCCAAATGTCCAGGTGCGTACCTGGTCATTCCCAGCACCGGCTTCAATATCTTTAATGGAGAACCAAGATCTCCTTCCCTCCTTTCTCTGTCGTCTTTGAGTGCCTCACAAACGGCTCATTGACACTGCCATGGTGAGGGAGATGGAACTGGATTATGTGGCAGTGTTTGTTACGCAGCACGTGTCTTATTCCAGCAACCTAATGCCCCAAAACCCAGATGCAAAATAGTCTCAGACCAATAGTCAAAGTGAACAGAAAATCTTTACTCTCTTTGCAGAGATGAAACAAAACTGGTAATGCAGCACACACAAATAAGCAGTGCAACATATTTAAACAGTCTGTAATAAGTATAAAACAAAACATCTTCTAAGCAGCAAATGGGAAATCAAAACAACCTGAAGCCAATAGCCATTTCACCATCAGCATCTCCTGCTGGAACTCCACGCTGGTGAAATGGAACTCCAGCAGCAGCCCACCAGAAATCCGGCACCCACCAGACATTCAGCACCCACCACACTGTAATTTACACAGTCTTTGTAATAAGCATAAAACAAAACATTTTCTAAGCAGCAAATGGGAAATCAAAACAACCTGAAGCCAATAGCCATTTCACCATCAGCAACTCCTGCTGGAACTCCACGCTGGTGAAACAGAACTCCAGCAGCAGCCCTCCAGAAATCCGGCACCCACCACACTGTATTGAAAAACCTCAAACAGTTCTAGCTCGTTGGCCGTGGCACAAGACAGCTGCCTTGACCTACTTAGTCAGCTGAACCAGATAATTACAAACAATAAGGTTTTTCTTCACACACATACTTGTGTCCTGCAAGGACTTACCGAATCCGGGGAGAGACAGATGAGCTCCCTCTATCAGCTCCAGCTCCCCAAGCGGGGACATGAGAGAAGCCTCCCACAAGGATGATAAAAACATCAAATCATCTGGGCAATGTCCCCTGGGCAACGTCCTTGCAGACGGCCAATTCTCTCACACCAGAAGCAATTGCAGTTTCTCAAGTTGCTCCTGACACAACCAAAAAAACAAAAACAAAACCCTAACAGTGTTGACTCATATAACGCAGTTCCATGCAGTTCAATCCACATTACAACGGGAGTGTAGATGGGGCCTGAGATGGTGTTCTTGCACTCTGCCACTGTTACTCTGGGACACACCTTTGTTGGGGCCACTGCAATGCGCACAACACACCATGGCTCCATGGGCCTCTCCATCAGGCCGAGGTGGTAAGAAATCACGCAGGAGAAGAAGAAGAGCGGGGATGGCGGGGTCACAGGTCAACACGTTGCCTCCTGGGTGTTTTGAAAAGAAGCCTTTGGGCGAATGTTTCCCCCAATACGCCTCCCGCTCCCCCCCCCCCAAAAGTTAACCTGCCGCCTCTGGTTTGCTTGCAGAAGCACAGTGCTGGGGGTGAATGCAGGGTTAAACCCCGCGCTCATGGCCACCAACCCGCTGGCCACCATACAAGGTTTGTGGAACCAAGACCCAGACATGATGTCATCATCCCATCCGTGGCTCCACTGTCTGTGCCTCAGAGAGAGAGAGAGAGCGGGGGGGGGGGGGGGGAAGGGTGCCAATGCAGCAGTCAGGCGGAGGGGGGGGGTCTTCTGTGCTGTGTGGAGGGCACGACGTGGGTGCGCTGACGGAGCGTCTGGGGGAACCCACTTGGGATGGCGCTCCATGAGCGCTCTCTAGCCCGCCAACACAACATGGCTGCTGCCTGACTGGGCAGACCCTCATGAGATGCTCAGATGCTCCATGAAAACAAGTGGTAGCCTTTCAATTGTTTCTGCTGGTGTTAGTACACCCCTCCCCTTCCTTTGGGCAAGTCACTCACTCTCAGACAAATTAAGCATATGTACATCATAGTTAAACGGACCGACATTAAAATGGAATTAAGCCGTGTATCCTGGTTGACTAGTTTGGAGTATCTTGTTCTGGAGACCAACAAGGGGCCTCTTCAGCCCCAAAACCGGAACACAGAGCCATTCCCCATTCTATGTATTGTCAAAGGCTTTCATGGCCGGAATCATCGGGTTGTTGTAGGTTTCTTTTGGGCAATATGGCCATGTTCTAGAGGCATCTCCTGACGTTTCACCTGCATCTATGGCAAGCATCCTCAGAGGTTGTGAGGTCTATTGGAACTAGGGAAATGGGTTTATATATCTGTGGAATGACCAGGGTGGGACAAAGAACTCTTGTCTGTTGGAGCTAGGTGTGAATGTTTCAACTGACCACCTTGATTAGCATTTGATGGTCTGGCAGTTTTTTGGTGTGGCTTGTGAGTGCCTGGGGGAATCTTTTGTTGAGAGGTGATTCCCCATTCTTTGCATCAGACCATATTCCCAGAGAGGGAACTGAGCCTGGGGCCTCCTTTGGGCACAGTACGGGGCTATGGGCCTCCCTCCCACACTTGCTTCCTCTTTGGAAGCAGATTGGTTCCAGAATTCCCTGGAACCAAGGTCTCTGCAAACAGCGTGATTGGCGTTAATGTGTCTGCGTGGTGTGCACGTGAGCAGCTGTGGGAGGGTAGAGTGCACGTGAGCACGGCCAGGCAGTGGAGCCCAGCACCAGCCCCCCTTCCTCCTGCAGTGCCCCTCCTCAGGGCCAGGAGGCATCACCATCATCATAACTCCCATCCTCCACACCGTGCCTTGCTAACCCTCCACCTGTGTGTGCACTCTCATCTCTCCCAGTCATCTCTCTGCCCGTTTTGTGTGTTTCCTGGCCTGGCTAATGTGGGTGGGGAGAGGCCATGCTGCCATGCTCCACTCCTTCCCAAAGGCTGTAATGTCGAGGGGGAGGGGGCCATGGGGCCTCCAAATGGGGATGGGGGCCCTTTGTAGCATCCCTTGTTGGCCCAGGCATTTGTGAAGTGGCGGTGGGATCCATATATTATTATTACTATTATTATTATTATTGCACGTATTCTTTAGATCCCACTTTTCTCTCCAACAAGGAGACTCAAAGCAGCTAAGGCAGGGGTCCTCAAACTAAGGCCCGGGGCCCGGATACAGCCCTCCAAGGTCATTTACCTGGCCCTCACTCAGGGTCAACATAAGTCTAAAATCCTATCTCACAACAACAATCCTATCTCACCAGCCAAAAGCAGGCCCACACTTCCCATTGAAATACTAATAAGTTTATATTTCTTAAAATTGTTCTTCATTTTAATTATTGTATTGTTTTGAAGTGTTTGTGCAGTGTGCATAGGAATTCATTCATGTTTTTTTCAAATTATAATCTGGCCCTCCAACAGTCTGAGGGACTGTGACCTGGCTCTCTGTTTAAAAAGTCTGAGGACCCCTGGGCGAAGGCATCACTCCCCATGCCCTGTGGAGCCAACCTGGGCAGAGTCCTTCTCCTCGATCTCCCTTTCTCACTTTGCTCTCATCCCTCACGGCCCCTGGGACCCTTGGCATGGTGCAGTGGGAGGAGAGCCCACGTGTGGCCCACCCTTCCTAAATAATAATAATAATAATAATAATAATAATAATAATAATAATAAGACTCAGAGCAGCTTCCTTCCGGCTGACCCCCCTCCCCTTTCTCTGTCCCTCCTCAGCCTTGGCCAGTGGTGGAAGCCTGCCAATTACCAGCCTTGATGCCAGTGGCAACCTGCTCCTGAGCACCAGCGCCAGTGTCACAGGGGCCGGCAGCCAGAGCATCGTGACCTCTCCGCTCTTCCTGAACCACGCCGGATTGCCCTTGCTGAGCGCCACCTCGGCAGGCAGCGTGGGGAGCCTGGTGTCGGCGGCGGCAGCGGCAGCAGCAGCGGCGGCCTCCATGCCCAGCAAGTCTCCCGGCCTGACCTCTTCCTCCTCCTCTTCCTCTTCCTCCTCCTCTTCCTCCTGCTCCTCGTGCAGCTCGGCCGCCAGCGACATGGCACAGACTCTGGCCCAGGCCACTCCGGGATCCACCACCGCTGAGCCGGACGCCAAGACGGAATGAGGGCCGCTGCCGGCACAGAGGGGAGCCGGAGGAGGAGGAGGAGGAGACCCCGCACGCAGCGCCTTGGCGGCAGAGGATTGCGGCGGCGGCGGCAGAGCGTTGGACCTACAAACCGACGAGCGAAACCAAAAAAGTGTATGAACCAAAACCAAAACCAAACAAAGAATTGTCAGCAACAGCCAAACGAAGAAAAAAAAACCCAACCAAAAAATAGAAAATAACCCAAAGTAGCCAAAACCAAGCCAAGCAAAAAGGGACAAAGGAAGAAACCAAAAAGAATTCCCCAAACCCGTGCTTTTCTTTTCCAGGGGTTTTGTTTCCTTTCCCCCTCCTTCTCCTCCTCCTCGTCCTCAGCAAGAACCAAACCGCCTTGCCAAAGGTGACTCCTCGAAACGCTTTCTTAAAACGACGACTTCTCTTTATTTTTCACCTGCGGGTTTCCTTGGACAGCGCCAGGAAGGAAACACACAGGGAACGGGGAGAGGAGTTTTTCTTTTTTGGTAAAAAAAATACGAGCAAAAAAAAAAAAGAGAGAAAAAGGAAAAAGACAAAAAACAATAATAATAAGAAAGAAAAAAAACCAAACTCCACCTTTAAGACCTTTAAAGGGGGAAATGAATCTCACACCAAAAATCACCAGTTCTAGCTTCACCCAAAGCTTTTTACAGACTTTTCTAACTTCTGTGTCTGGTCGAATGTCTTTCAAATACTCTTTTATTTATTCTTATTTATTCTTGGTTCTCTTTGGGTTCCAGGAGGGGGGGCGGGGGCGGGGGCAGGGAGGGGCAGGTTGGCTTCTTTGCGTCACGTTTTTACTGTGGATAATTGTTTATGAACTCTCCCTTCCCTCTGTTTTTCCCTTTCAAGCCTGAAAGTGACAAGCAAGGGGGTTCATGCGCCTGCTTTGACCACAAAGGTTTAGGTTTTCAAAGGCGGTGGTGCCCAGGCGCCAAGCTCCCCTCTTGGCCCCTGTGTGGGGATGGTCACTCTGCAGACCCTTTTCCTACTGGGAGTCGGGCCCATTGGCACAAACCCCTTGAGGCCACTTGGGCAGAGACGCCCTGAAAGCCTCAGCCTGTGGCTCTAAGCAGGCTGCCCCTCGCTTGTCTAGGGTGCGTCTACACTGTGGAACGAATGCAGTTTGACACCACTTTGACGTCTCAAGGCTGTGGCGTCCCGGGAGCCGTAGTCTCGCAAAGCCTTCCCAGCCAAAGAGTGCCAAAGTACAACTCCGGGGGCTCCCTCGCCTTGAGTGGTGGCGGTGCAAGTGGGACAAAACTGCATCAGTTCTACAGTCTAGATGCCCCATGATTGATTTTGCCTTTTTTAAAACATTTCCTAAACCAGTGATGATTTCTGCCTGGGATTACTTACTATCAGGGGTTATTTTTCTGAAAACAGGGGATGTGTAATTTTTATTGTTGTTATTATTATTTTTATATCTGTGTTCTGAAAATGAGAAATACTCATATTCCAGTGCCTGACAAAAACCAAACCAACCAAAAAAAACCCAACAAACAACCAAACAAAACGGGAATCTCTACTTTTACATTTTCTAGGAAACAAATAGAAACCAAAAATTGCTATCACTACAAACAATGACACGAAGATCACGGGAATCAAGGAAACGAGGCCACGGGAAAGAGGGGCCAAAAGACCCCCTTTTGTGTGGATCCGCAGAGACTCGGAGGCGAGAGAGAAACCTTTAACCAAAAAGAACACACCAAGCAAACAGGGGGAGCGTTGACCGAAGAAGGAAGGAAGGAAGGAAAGAAGGAAAGAAAGAAGGAAGGAGCGAGCGAGCGAGGGAATCAAGGGAGGCTGTGACTTTCTCTGGTGAGACAATGGCTCAACCATCTTTCTCTGTCCTAAAAAAAAATACCTCATGGAAAGCTGTGTTGAGAAGCCAGGATTTTGTAAATGGCAAAGAGACAAGCGAAAACTAATAATAATAGTAACAATAATAATAATAATAAACCAAATCAAAGGACTTGGGAGGGAGAGAAGAGAGGGTCCCGACCCTTCCTCCCCGAAGACTGGAAAGCTTTAAAAATGGCTTCTCAAAATGCTCTTTCTTTCTTGTTTGGCTCTTGCAGCCTTTTGCTTTTTCGGTACCTTCTTGGTGGATTTCTTTCTTTCCTTTCCTCTCTTTCTTCTCCTTCTCCTTTCCCCCCTTTCCCAGTCCTGCTCAGTTTGGGCTTCTTTTCCAATGCATTTATTTGTGGGGGGAGGGAGGGGGTGCCAGTCCGTGTTTTGGGGCTCTTTGAATGTTTGCCTTTTCTTTTCAACTCCTGCGAACCAAAGTCTTGCTGTTGCAGAGAAGGAAGTTAGCCATGGCATACTTGCGATCTGGTAGAAAACACCAAACCAAAAACCAAAACCAAACCAAAAGGACAGAGCGACAAAAAAAAAAAATCAAAAAAGATAAACTACGAACCAAACACACACCAAAAAAAAGAAAGGACTTTGAAACCTTTCTTGAAGCCGAAAAACCAAACCAAACAAACACACAAACAAACAAACCTCGACCTCATTTTATCTCCTGCTTTTGCTGTGCTATAATAGCGTTCAGGTGGGTTTGAGAGAACAAACGGAAAAATAACAATACTGTGAAACTTTCCAAAAATGAAACAAACAGGAAACACCTCGTTTTGAAAAGACTTGACTTGGGAAACAAAAAAAAAGAGAAGGTGTTTTTCATCCCATCCTGTGCGCGAGAGAGAGAGAACCAACCGGCAGAGCTTTCCCTGTCTCTTTCCAGGTGCGGTTCTTGATTATCGGTGGACGTTTGGGGGGAGAAGGAAGGAGAACATTTGGGGCGCCCCGTTTCTCTCTCTCGACTTTTCTCTCTCTCTCTCTCTCTCTCTCATGTGCTACTGAACGTGTTACTAGGTGGAATGTAACTGTTTTAGTGATCTTTGTTCTCCTTTCTTTTTTCTTGCCTTTCTTTTTTCTGTTTTGGAAAAAAAAAACTTTGGGCGGGGGGGTTCCTTCTATTTTTTTTTATAGAGAAAAGTCTATGTTCCGCTTTATCGCTTCTGACTGTATTAAATGAAAAAGACAAACCAAATGCTAAAAGGTTTGCAACACAAAAAAATAGATAAAAAGGGAAAAAACTGAACAACAACAAAAAAAAAAACCAAGGGAAAAAGGAACAAAAACCAAAATGTGTTTTTTTATATAAAAAAACGATTCTAGACCAAAAATGACCCTATCTCCAGGCATGGAGCAGAGCGGTGGGCGAATGGCAGCGGCGGAGGCACGGAGGAGGAAGGCCCGGAGCAGGACGATGGGCCCTGGAGTGGAAGCTTGACTAGAGGCAGCTTTGTGCCAAACAGAAGAGCGGCCAGCCATGCACAGGGATCCTTCTTGAGACCGGTGGCCAGGCCTCGCTCGGCCCTCTTCCTGCCCTTCTGTACGAGCTTGAGGGAAGGTGGGCTTCTTGACCAGGAAGTAGCCCAAGGGGGTTTCCTCTGGGGAGGGGGATCCCTGCCTTCAGGTCCCTTGGATCCAGAGGGAGAGTGGCCTCCTCTGCTCTCCTCAAGCTTTAAAGGCAAGGGCACTATTGTCTTCCCCGGGCAGAGGCCACTGGGGGGAGCTAGAGAGAAGGATTGTCCCTTTTCGGCGGAAAACTTGAAGGAGGAAAACCATTTCCTCTGTTTTTGTTGGAGGGTTGTTTCCAGGATGGGACATAGGTGGGGGGAATGGCAGGGAAACGGGGAAATGGTTTTCCTCCTCCAACCCTCCGGCCACTCCAGTAAAACGGACTGCCCTTCTCTCTCTAGCGGCCCCTGGTGGCCTCCGCCCAAGTAACGGGCCGTGAAGCCCAGCTTCCAAACCAAATAGCTGATCTGCTTCTCCTCCTCCTCCTCCAAGCCCTCCACGTGCCAAGGCACCCACCACAAGGCTCTTTGGAGATAGCCTGCCATATACCTCATATACTTTAATGATGAACCAAATAGAAAAGCTTTATGAAGGGTGTGTGTGCCAGACGGGTCTGTCTTGGGGTGGCTTTGGGGAACGGGAAGCGGGGCAGGCGTGGCGGCAGCATCTCTCTCTTGGAAGGGAACGGGGCAGGGGCTCAGGCCCAACATTCTTTGCCCCAAATGGGGTTCTCCCTCTTCCCAAAAGGGGAGGGAGGCCAAGCCCTGTGGGCCTTGTTTACATAGAGGGAGGGAGACCCCCTTCCAGCTGTGGGCGCCTTGGACCCTTGTGTAAAGGGCAGGAGGGCACAGCTGTGCCACCCAAAGGCTCACCTGGCCGTGGCCTGCTTTGGCCTGGGGCCCTTGGAGGCCAGAAGTGGGCCCGGCCTGAGGGATGCTGCCAGGGAGCCCGGCCCCCTCCCCACCCCCCATCCAAACCCGTTGCGGAGTCCCACCCGGAGCCGTGGGGGAAATCGTGTGATAACTTTGCCAAAGGTAGTTAGTTCCTAGTACTTATTCATTTTGACTCTTTTTTTTTATTAATTTCGAATCTTCCGGGGTCCGATCCTTGTCTCGTTAATTTATTTGTAACTTGTGGGGCTTAGAAGTGACTTGAAAAAAAATTGATGATGATGATGATGATAATGATAATGTAACAAATATTCTGAGTGATTTTTTATTTGTTCTTTCATTTGGTTCTGTCGTGGTTTTGTGTTTTTTTCCCTGTCTTTTTTTTAATTAAAAAAAGCAAAAACAAAATAAAAATCTTGCAACCAAAGACGAGTCGGAAGGGAATCAGAGGCCTCTCTTGGGGGGATGCGGATCGTGAACACACACACACACACACACACACACTGGCCTCAAGGCCCTCAAATGAGGACTGAGGAGATCCCTCTTGCTACGATGGCCAGCAGGCCCCGGACAACTTCAGCCCTCCCTCCAAGTGTTTGGGACCGTGACTCTCACCATATCTCCTGAGAAAGAAGGAGAGAAGGATGGGTGGAAGAAAGATGAAGGAAAGAAGGAGAAAAGGAAGATGAAGGTAAAGGAAGGAAGGAGAGAAGGACAGGTGGAAGGAGGGTGAAGGAAAGAAAGAAAACAAATGGAAGGAAACGGAAGGAAGGAGAGAATGAGAAAAAGAAAGAAAGGAAAAGAAAAGAAAGAGGGAGAGAAAGAAAGAAGGAAAGGGAGAAGGAAGCATGGAAGCAAAGAGAGAAGGAAGGAAAGAAGGAAGGGAAGGAAAGAAGGAATGAAATAGAAAAGGAAGAAAGGAGAGAAAGAGGGAGGGAAAGAAAAAGTGAAGGAAGGAAAGTTAGAGAAGGAAGAAAGGAGGGGAAGGAAAGAAGGAAAACGAATGGAGGAAGAAGGAAGGAGAGAATGAAAGAAAAAGGAAGGTGAAGGAAAGAAGGAGAAAAGGAAGATGAAGGTAAAGGAAGGAAGGAGAGAAGGACAGGTGGAAGGAGGGTGAAGGAAAGAAGGAAAACGAATGGAAGGAAAGGGAAGGAAGGAGAGAATGAAAGAAAAAAAGGAAGGTGAAGGAAAGAAGGAGAAAAGGAAGAATAAGGTGAAGGAAGGAGAGAAGGACAGATGGAAGGAGGGTGAAGGAAAGAAGGAAAACGAATGGAAGGAAAGGGAAGGAAGGAGAGAATGAAAGAAAAAAAGGAGAAGGAAGGAAAGAAGGAGAAAAGGAAGAGAAGGTAAAGAAGGAAGGAGAGAAGGACAGGTGGAGGAGTGGGAAGAAGAAGGAAAACAGGAAGGGAAGGAAGGGAAGAAGAGAAGGAAGGTGAGGAAAGAAGGAAGAAGGAAAAGGAAGTGAAAAGGAAGGAAGGAGAGA